GGACTAAATACAGAGGACTAAGGACAACAAGCAGAAACAGCTGATCACATGGGGATCCCACACGAGGTTAACGAGGGGGCGTGGCACACGGAAGGAGCGGACAATTGGGGCAGGACAAATTGTTTGGATACATTTATTTTCTTACTTTACAAATTACTTTTTTGATAATTGTGCTTAGATGTGTTTAGTACAGTATATGCTCTTATTTTATCTGGTTCATTTTGTGTTGAAATGCTAAAAAAACATATTTAGGTGTAATTTTTTGAGGGCGCGGGAACCAATGAATTGGTTTTCCATTATTTCTTATGGGGAAAATTCGATCACAACTCGAACTTTTTAGGATTCGAGTTAGGATTTTTTAGGATTCGAGTTCTGAATGGATTAAATTCGAGTTCTGAGGTACCACTGTATATATATAAAATATATATTTTTCCTTTACTGTCATGTCTACAGTGGTCGAGGGCCGGGGGGCTCGCCTAGGGTGTCACATGGGTGTCACCCGACCCCCATGTGTCGAATACAGGAAGCTGTGCATGTGGCCGGCAGGGAGCACAGCTGCAGGGAGCACAGCCGCAGGGAGCACAGCCGCAGGGAGCACAGCCGCTCTCCACACCTCCATGCAAAAGCGTATTACAATGCATGCAGCAGAGTACCTCTGTCTCTCGGAGCCGGGCCTCCAGGGCATCCCTGGGGCCCTGAGTGTTGTCATTGACCCTCAGCCTCTCGTGGGCTGCTCGCATCCAAGACAGGGCAGCCTCCAGGCTTTGCCCAAACTCAGCCTGCTCCTGCTGAGTCATGGCAACGTAGGTGCTGCTGGGAGCAGGAAAGCTGAGGAGAAACACCGATGCAGCCATCAACTCAGACCTCTGTGACTTTGTGAGTTTGTGCATGAGTTTGTGAGTTTGTGCAGACACAGAAAACACCCAGTTTACAAATAATACATATAAAATCGTCCTCATAAAACATGTACCTAAGACATCAAGTATTAATATCAGTAACTTTCATAGCACTGGTACTGAAAACATTGTTTGCAGTAATATTACGTGCATGCCAGCGAGCAGGTCGTTTCAAAACGACTGATTCTTCTAATCAAAATTTCGAACACATACGTACATTTAAATTAATCTAAATGTACTAAGAACAGGGGCTATAAAGGGGTGGGGGCAAAGGGGCAGTGGCTATAGCTGAAAGCTGATTGGCCTCCAGACTGCCCTCATCTACGTCACTCATCTATTCAAAATACATCATTCACTAATAATAAAATTGGCCTCTCTGTATAAATGATGGTCCTTCTTATGAACCCCCCCACCCCCCAAAAAAAACATCCTAGAATCGCCCCTGACTAAAAGAGAGATCAAATCGTGTCCACCTGTACTGTTTTTAAAAACTTTGCATGACTATATCAAGCCACATTGCAGAGCAGTTTAGCGTTTGTATAAGCGATACGTATTTCTAAATGGCTTTTCACAACAAACATGTTTCCCCTCTACTTGCAAGTAATTCGGTACTCACATTTTGTATATGCTGCGTATCTCTTATGGCATTGCTTGCTACTGAGATACAATTAAGTTTAATTGAATTTGCGCTGAATAGCCAAATGCGACCTAAGATTAAGAACATTTTTAACCCACTTCTCCTGTGAATCTGTTTAAACCCTATATAATAAGAATGTTCAGAGTAGCTAAAATGACGAGTCGCTCGATCCAGCACGGCGAAGTAGTCATTTTTCCTGCATGAGTCATAGTGGTTTTCCTCTACAGTCGCATTTAAAAAATAAAAAAAAAAAAGAGTAGAGGAGCAATGATTATGTACATAACGGCAATGTATTTTATGCTGCATTATCGATTCTATTTGAGAAACACGTAAGACCACGATAATCATGAGAAAATCCTCTTATACCATCTACACGTTAGGTAATTAGCGGTAACTATCTGGACCAAATACTATATTTGGGTTTCCGGCAGCTCATCTATAATATAAAATGAATTGCAAGGGAAACAAACATTTCGGTAGCGAATCCAATTTCAAATACGCCTACGTTTTCAAAATCATTTCAATTCACAAGCAATGATTAGATACTTTAGAGCGATTAAAAGGAAAACGGTTCAACCAGGTTGCCTGTCAAATGACGAGAGTTTCAAAGTTGAGATGTAAACAAGCCGGGGAAACGAAGAGGTTTGGTCTGAAGACAGCATCTAACTGCACCACGAGTACAGCCACATTCAACACATTCAATATTTACCATAAGGGTGCTGATCATTCACATTTTAGGACTGCTAATAAGCATTAACTCAAAAGCCCACTAACGAGAAAGCTTCCCAAATACTACAAGCCAGCTACGTGTGTTAATGGTAACACAGGCGGCCGCATGGTAAATACAAGAATGATGAATATACGTGTACATAGTTTAAAGATGTATCAATACAACGCGACTGTCCAAAAATAATTAAATAAGCTTACCACTAAAGAAACATTACAAAATTTGTAACCTTCCGCTTCACACAATGATCACGCAACAACTCACCGGAGGCCTAGGCGTATATAAATGAAACTTTGCTAGCGAAGTGGCTTGACACGCTCACAGACAGTAATAACACACACCCAGAGACGCGGATTGCTGGGGCAGGACCTGCCATTCATTCCGGGCTGCGCCCTTACGCACGCGACGTCACGCCGTAAGGAGTGCGCTTCATTGCTGAAAATGACAACAACGAACGTGCTCCTGTAAATATTTCACTAAATAAAAGCTGCACGACGTACTCAGTTGACCAAAATGTTTTATTTCACAGCAGGCAAAGTTTCGACTGTAGCCGTCCCCTGGATACATTTCAAACATAACACGAGTCAAACTTCCGAAAACAACGTAGATTTATTAAACCTGTGAAACCACTTTACTATAAAGAAATGTGGGTATAAATTCGTTAAAATACGCAAGTCTGTTGGGTGAGGATATTCTTCACCGCAGTACCAGGTAGGTGTGACCTGTTTATGGTGTTCAGAAAAATGATCATAACTCTGTTATTGTTTATCAGATGTTAATAAACTAGGTATCATTAGAAAGCTTATTTCTTGCCTAACAGTCTCAGATACACTGAAAATAAAACATATAATTCTTTAATTTATTTGTCTGTCAATTAATACTCACCGGAGAATGTATGTAGTGAATAATACAAAGAATGTCTTTTCAAAGAGTCCACAGCATCAAATTAAAAAGTACTTTGTTTTGTCATTATAATCCATTCAATAATAATACATTTGAAAAGCATTGTCCATAGTAAAGTATCAAAAGGTACAGGAGCAAAGTAGCTGTCACTTTAACAAAACACCAGGTCCCCACTAATGAGGTCAGCCCCAAGTTCATATTTGGTCAACAATGTGTCCTCTGCATTTTCATCATATGTCTCATTTTCCTTCCAATAAGCAATTGTGAAGTAGGCAACACCATTCCTTTTTTTCTGCTTTACAATTTTTTCCTGAATCTTTGAAGCAGCTCTTTTCATCAATTCAATTCTAATTTCATCCTGCTTTTTCCGACTGTCCTTTCTCTTTAATCTAGCTCTACCTACAGCCCAGTCCACAACTGCTTCTCTTGTTGATTTGCTCAAACTATCCAAATATGGCACAAGACGGTTCTTTTTAGCCCTCATCTTTGCTCTTAAGAAGTCTATTCTGGCATTTTTCGACTTCTCTTTCTCAATGCTGTACATCCCCATAATTTCTTCCGCATCTATGTTGTGCAGACGGGCTGAAGCTGTTTCCTCTTCAAGAGCACTGGTCAGTTCCATCTCAAAATAGCGTTTATACTGGCACTCCAAAACAGCAATGACTGCATTCAGACATGTCTTTACAATGACTCCAAACTCTTCCTTACTGCCAGATCCCCCTCTTAAAACTCTCAGCTTGTCAAGAGTTGCATCACTAGCACTCAGGGGACGCCCAAAGAAGTCTGTAGACCAGGTGAGAATCACAAGTGGATCTGTAGAGGCAAGTTTCAAACAAGCCACAACATCCTTGACAGTCCGAATGCCATCAATATGGCTTACTTCACTGTCCATTGATGTATAGAACATCTGCATCCATGGGGCAGTGAGCAACTTGCCTAAGAGCCCAAGACCTTGGATTTCTAATATTGCAGTCGGATTCTGGAAATCCTGTCTAATACTTGACTGCAGGCCCCCACAAGAAACACTTCCAATAGTGAAGAATTCAAGAAATGTGTCATAGTGCTGATACAGAATTCCACAAATATGGAAAAGGACATGCAAACGATTGCCACGGTACCTAGGGATTAGACCACGTGATAGCTTCTTTTTGTCAAGGAATGTTTTAAAACCCTTAGGGTCTCCCTTCCCATCTTTATAGCGGAATTTATTGATCTGAAGCACTAAATTGCCTGCCATAGAATCCTTTCCAAATAGATGACCTCTTGTGGACTCCAGACCTTTTAATGCTGAGCGACATGTGGATGCAATGGTATCTAGGGGATCAAGGTGGCAATTAAGTTCATTTAATACTTTTCCCCATGTCTCATTCACTTTCTGGATGGCTGCATGGTTCACAGCAACTCTGTCTGTCATCGTATTTGAAATTTTGTTTATCATGGTGGATCTGGTATATCCATAGTCCTCCTGGTGGAAGTCGGCATAGACACTGGCAAGGTTGTCAATAGAATGCGTCACATGATCATGATAATCATCAGCAGTCCCGCCAGCAAGCTCATCAATGTCCACCACTTCACATTCCTCTTTTGATGTCAAGTGTATCGAGTTAATGTGAGTCCCTTCCTGGGTGGTGGCATCGAACCCTAACGTCAAGCCTGGTTTCTTCATGACCCACTCTGCTGCCTTGAGATCAGCAATTACATCAAGTTCTCGTACCATCTGATCAATGGCAGACCTCTGAAGTATCGAGGTTAATTTTTCTCCTGACCTTTTGGCATCACTTTCAATTAGAAGCGGAATACTTTTTGTTGGCACTTGGTTGACAATATGATCTCATGCGTGTTTCTAAACTGTATGTCTTCCCATCCTTTTTTGTTAGTTTTTCATCCTTCTGAGCTAATTGTTGCAAACTTTCTTCCAGTTGTAGTATTCTGTTTTCCAAACTAAGGATAATCTCATCTTTCCTTGAAAGTTCTTGCTTCACCTTGAGATGTACCTCCATAGAAACAAAATTCTTTGCATGACTTTGCCTTTTTTTTCCACGTGCTTTCTTTAGACGTTCATGGTTGCGATGTATTTTTGCATAGTCGTACTTGGCGTCTTTTAACTGTTTTTTCAACAAAGTTATTTGTGCATCCTTTACTGTCACTGAATGCTTCTTTCGTTGAATTTCCTGGTTTGAATACTTAACTTTAGCAAATCTTGTAACATCAAGTTTGTCTTTAAGATCTTTTATGCGTTTCACATACTGTTTTTTTTCAGAGCTCCGCATTTTTGCCACAAAATCAAGCCTTTTTTTCATTTTAGCTTCCTTTGGCGTGAGTTCTCCCATTCCACGCTTATAAGAGACTTGGGTGACAAACTCACTAGGCCCAGAAACAGGTACACTTGGAGATTCAGTAACTGCCAGTAGCTCGCTATGATCAGAGTCTGGCACACTTGAAGGACCAGGTTGAGGTTCTGCAACTGCCATTTCATTCGGTTCAAGTTCTGTTGCAGCTGTTGATTTAGAGGGAAATTTAAATGTTTCGTTACAGAATTCCACAAATCGTTCTTTATCGCGACTGAGGTTTTGGAATGTCATGAACCTGTTGGTTATTGACTGCAGATCATTTGGTTTCAGTGAATATGATTCACCAAAGGCCTTGTAAACTCCACAAATGGTTCTGGTGATGGACTTGTCATTTTCAAGGTAAATATGTAGTATGTGCCCGTTCAGAACTGTCTGATCTCCGGGAGTTGAAGAAAAGAAGTCTTTGAGATGCTGCCTTGCTATGCCAGCCCGTGCTGGTTGTGGAGGATTACGTTTTCTCTTCATGTTAAAGGTAACTGAAAAGACAATATGCAACTATTTCTAGCCTTTCCAACCCATTCAAAATTATCAATCATCTGTGTTACAAAAGCAAGCGATGGGTATCTACTCCATTTTATTACAAGAATATATATTCATAAACACATATAACCTCATTTAAAAGCCTTCACATCATTTTAAAGCTGTAAATTCCATGCTGAAAATCATGCTATTTTCGGCTCTTGCTGCACTGTTCACCACAAAACAACATGGCCGGCTCTCGCGGCAGATCCAAAAAAGTGAACTGCTGATCGATAAATTTTGCTCAAAATACACCTAAATACAATAAACTAACTAAGAAATATAATTATCATAGTTTGAAGAATAATTCTGCTTACCTTTATTGTCCCAACGAAGGTTTTAATGAGTGAAATTTTCGGTAAGATCGGGAGGAAATTTCGAAGTTATCAGAAAGTCAGATTACCGTGTTTTGAATGGAAATCCCTGGATGAAGGTGTGTTTTACGTTATCAGAACGGGTTACCCTAATAGACACAAAAATAACACAACAAAAAGGCAAAAACTACTGGGATACCCTGGTGCTCTGGGGAATGGCGACCAAATTGAAAACGAGGCTGCCTGCCAAAGCCCCTATGGCGCAGAACTGATGATAGTGACATACCTATACCAGGCTTCCTGATTTTTAAATGCTTTCCCCCAGTTAACTAGCAATGCATCCGCAATTTTCATAAAGATGTAATCAGTCAATAACCAAGCCACTCAAGTTTGTATCGTGGCATGTTGTCAAAATACGCATTGAACAAAGCAGAAATTAAATCTTTCACAAAACGTCCAACGTAACCATTGGCGATTTCCGTGCCTGTGGAAAGAAACAAACAGTAAGTACTAGATTTACCACCAATTTACCAAAATCAATACGCCTAAGCATCGGTCCTAAAGGTAAGCTGTGCTATAATACAGTTAACAACTGTAGCAGCTTTAAGTGCTTGTCAGGGGACTCGTCCAAACAAGCAATATCTAGCTGCTTAGATATGCTCTGCCTGCTTTCAGATAGGGGACGAAACAGACTTAGCCGTCACCGCCGCGGAAGCAGGGCACAAGGGGGGGATGTAGAAGGAACATCGCACGTGGAGCCGCGCGCCCTCCGGCGGCCACGCCTTCGCTTCCTTCGCCTAATGTCTGCAGTCCATTTTCGCCCCAAACGCTATGGATGTAGGGAGCCAACTCACAGGACTGCAAAACTCAAGTAACATTATATATAACGTTCACAAGCTACGTTTAAAAAAAAACACTAAAGTGGTATTCCACATTCGTAAAACAAACCTTTCTTGCCAAGATGAATAAAACGACATTCCAAGCTACCTGTAAAAGTTCTTATCCCGCCACAAAACATTGAACTAATTCATTTTGTTATATAGCTTTAAGAAAACGGAAGTGACGGAAACGGAAGTTTGTCACACAATAACAGGAAGTAGTTTGAGCAAATTGCGTATCAGATACACTTGCAAACTCTTTCGAAGAGAATACTATCACTTTATATAGTACAAAATAATAAAAATAAAAACAATACATTTGCTAAGATTGTACCATTTTAATAGGAAATATTTGCTGCATATTTTGTGAAGTTAAAGATAGACGTCGGCGTTGGCCAATCACGTGAGGCTTTCGTCAGCCAATCGCAGCGTTGTGTTTCTCCTTGGTTGTAGTTCTGCGCGAATGTCTTGGTATCCAGTCTAGACTTCTATCAGTTTGTATAACTCTGTGTAATTTTGAGAGGCGGATTATTGTATTTTAAAAAGAACGATGAGCGGGCTGTTTAGATCAGTGCTTCGGGCTGTGCAGGTGGGCGCAGCGACCTGTCGACCGAAGAATTTTGATGCCCATGTGTCGGTAGTCCCGGCCCGACTCTTCTGTGCCTCTGCTGGGGAGAATGATCTTGGTGAAATGGTGAAGAAGGACAAAGTTGTCGTTTTTATGAAAGGGACTCCAGCTCAGCCCATGTGCGGCTTCAGCAACGCCGTGGTCCAGATTCTGCGGATGCACGGGGTGGAAAACTACGCTTCGTATAACGTGCTCGAAGACCAGGATCTTAGGCAAGGTCAGAACAGAAAAACTAGCCGGAGGGGAAGGATGCCGTGTCGTGTACTTTTTCTCTTTGTTTTCCATAATAATCCCCGCTGTCCTTTATCTTTATTCGCCATGAGTTCCAGCATTTAGCATATTGTATTGTGCTTACTAGCTGCAGGCCCTATACACACAGCTGCATGCGTTCTCGGCAACCGTGTAGGGAATTTTTGGGGTCACTTTTGTATGTTAATTACACAGTTAACAAAAAACAGGTTTATCGCCTAATATTTTTACGACACTAGGATTTTGATAGCAACTACTGATAACTTTTTTAAAAAAGCGGTCCAATGCAAACGTGGCATTGATGGATTAGTTTATCTCCTCAGCGGTTTTACCTTTATCGGGGAAGACCAGCATGTAGCCAAGGGCGTTCACTACCGCTGTCAACTTGGTCCGGCAATTATATCCCCTGTATTATTTGTGAAAATACTCTGAAATGGAACAGAAATCGTATGTGTTAATTTCCAAGGTGCAATATGTACAAAGTTGGAAAATTAAATCTTTAAATTTATTATGACCAAGATAGTCGAGTGAGCCTTGCACTACCCAAAGGTCAACAGATGTTGTTTTCCCTGTATAAATTCTTGGGATGTCATAAGAATTATTTTTTTAAACCAAAATGTTGTTTTTTTTTTTGTTTTTTTTGGTAAGAGAAGGTAAAATATTCTATTAATATTATATTAATGTTATTTGCTGTGCTGATAATTTGTTTGTCATGTTCTAAAGTTAACCAGTATTTTTAAGTAGACATTCTTCTAAGCCTAAGATGCTAGCTAACATTAAATATATGGTGTAATGTTTGGTAGACCTATATTCAACAAAGGATGTGTTAAGACGTGTTAACTTTTGTGTACAGGTGCTGAAACTCAGCTGGGGATGCATCCAGAATGACTCAGTAAATGATAGTGACTACTGCTCTCTGAAATTCATCACTGTCACTTTATCCGGCAGGAGTCAAGACTTTTTCCAATTGGCCGACGATCCCACAAGTGTTCTTCAATGGAGAGTTTGTCGGCGGTTGTGATATTCTCCTTCAGATGCACCAGAATGGAGACCTCGTAGAAGAGCTGAAGAAACTGGGGATCCGTTCCGCCCTTTTAGATGTTGAGAAAGATGAGAAATCCAAGTAGAACTATAAAGGGACAGGGTTGATGATAATAGCTGCCAGATTTGGGGAAAAAACATTACATATTTACTCCAGTATTACTGGAGGTAAAACTTTTGATGATCCAGGTGCTGGGAAAATGTCAAGCTCTATGTTGTATGTACTCCCAGTTCAGACTTTAAGAGAACAAAATAAATCTTATATATTTTGTTTCTACATATTGAATTTTTCAGTAATTGAATGCACTGTGTATAGAAGATATTGTAAATGATACATGTGTTTCATAAGTCAGCTCTTTATATTAATAAAATATTTCGATGTGCAACGAGTTTTAACTTTACATATCCTTTGATGAATATTACATTCGGAGTAAAATATACTTAGCTTGTTTTTTAGTTATTTGAAATTAAATATATTAGACAACATTCAAGAAATTAGGGAATATAAAGTTCTGTTGAACATATCATGAATTATGTGAACCAGTTTACCCTTACGGTGTTTAGAGGAATTGGATTTTTTTAACTTGGGTCAAAGGAAATCAACAATGTAATACTGACCCCCTTTTCCCAGTTAACTCATATAATATTTAGTATCAGCTGTTTGGATATTTAATCAAGCCTGGAGTTGCGCTCCACAATATGAATGTGGCTTTGACACACATCGAGAAGCTATCAGCACACTGCCTACATAGGCATACCATGCTCAGAGCAAGAGTTCGTCAATACAAGTCAGTGTGAGAAGAGCTAGTGAGAAATCGCCAACAGAACTACAGTTAGAGCTATCTAACTAACTGGCGAGGTTTTTGCTACAGTTGCAAATATCCCTAGGAGAAGTCATCCTGCTAAAAGAGTAATTTGTTCAAAAAGCAGATGGAAAACACATGATACCTTGCTAAAGACCACCCATGTGATCCTCAAGAGTTCACATTCTGTTTTGAATGGTTTTGTGCAAGATAAGTCTCATAGAGAAACTGCATTTTGCAATTAGAAGCTCAACAGTGGTGAAGTATGGCTTGAGTATGCTGGCCTTGACATCAAAAGAGCCATACATTTTGCTCTCAGGCAACAGACAATGGATAGGTCATTAGTCTGTGTGCTGCAGCACAGCTGGACCATGCATTAAGACCCAATACACCACAGCAAGTCTAACAGGGAACTATTGAAATGGAAATAAATGAATGGTTTGGACAAGCCTAGTCAAAATCCAGACCTAAACCCCACTGAGAGGTGGTGACAAGGCCTGAAATGAGCTGTCCACTTCGATAAGCACAACATGTTATTGGATTAAAGCAATCCTTCATAGGGAAAAGGCCAGCATTCCTCCATAGAGCTGTATGATAAAAATTGGTATGAAAACCGTCATCAGGTGTGTCATATATACAACAAATAAACAGCTCTACCCCCCATGCAAGCGGATCCAAAAGAAGAACAAGTGAAACAACCCATAAATGGGACAGAGGTCAGAGTTGTGATATTGGTTCATTCACGTGCCCTTTCATCTAATACTGCAGAAGTGTCAGATAAAAGTTCTACTAACTACTACAGGAGGAACATTTATTCATGCAGAAAGATTTGAGGGAATATATATGGTACAGTACCATACTTCAATAGGAACTATTATATAATAATAACAGTTTGTCCCAAAACACTGCCAGATGCAAGTACCGAAAAAAGCTACAGTGCTGAGTAGCATATCCATTTTATGCATGTCTAATACCATTAGACCATGCTCAACTGCCATTCCTATTTGTTTCCTTTTTTGTTGTACATGTCCACATAAATTATTCAATTTTGCTACAAAAATTAGTTACCCTAAATGGCACTTTGCTGTTTTATAAATATGGAGTACCACCACGTCTCCAATTCTTTCTTTGAACTTACTAACTTTTTTGAAGAGTGAAATCTGTGCCATTAATGTTTTGCACAAAGGCTCTGATGCACTGAGATTGGCATGAGGTTGAGCTGAGTAGTGCTGCTTTCAGGTGCTGAGCTGGCACTCTCCCTTCAAAGACGATACTCTCCTTGCATTGGATTCATTTGGTTACTTTTCCTTTTTTCAGCTTTCAAGGAGCTCCAGCAGTCATCCAATGATTTGTGAGCATTACGTTACACTGTCATCCCATCCGGGGTGTATCGCAGATATTGGCCAACTGCAAGTTCACTATGAGTGATTATCTAGATATTAAGCAGGGTCAAATTAAGGTAGCCCTAATACAGCAATGCTTTCATGCCATTGTGTAGGAGAGAGTTTAATATTGGTGGGGTCAAATTTAATTATTTAACTCCAAAGGTATGTTTATTGGGGGGATGAATCAAGCCAATATAATTATCTGGGGGGGACGTGCACCCTCCCCCCAGTTCCTACGCCGCTGCATTTAGTGTCACACACTAACAGGCACGAAGCGGGGAAAGAGGAGCAGGAGTCCACGGAGTTGGGGAAACGCCAGATTTATTTGGGGAGAATACATCCAGGAAAACGATGCAACACACAGGACCGACAACAAAACGTTAATGACCGCACTGGAGAAACATACTCTAACGCGGACTTAAATACACAGGACTACCAAACACAACTAGAAACAGTTGGGAACACAGGGATTCCACACGAGGTAACGAGGGGAGCGTAGCACACAGGAGGATCGGCACGAACAGGGCATGACAGAACCCCCCCTAATGCACACACTCTGGGCACGCCTAAAGGGACTGGAGGGACAACACAGGACTCAGGGCAGAATAGGACAGCATCTGGGGAAACAAAAGCAGCAACATCAATGAACCATGGGGAACAGCAACTGCATAAGGGGCAAGCAAGACAATGAATCCCAGAATCGACTGGAAAGAAGGTTGAGGTTCTGCCTCCACTCTGCACAGCACTCACAATACCAGTGTACAGGCCAGCCATGACATCCAGCAACTTCAGGAGGATTCCACAAAGTCTCAGGATGTCCCTCAGGGCAGCTTGATCAACTAAGATGAAGGCTTTATCAAAATCGACGAAGGCTGCAAAAGAAACTGTACCATATTCGAGTTTGCGCTTGATGGGAACCCTCAGTGCCAGGATGCGGTCGATAGACTTTTTAGGCATAAAACCAGATTGCTCCGGTCGCTGGTAGGCAAGCCAGTGATCACGCCTCCTGTTGAGGATGACCATAGCAGGGACCTTAACTGGCACTGAGACCAGTGTTATCCCGTTGTAGTTGCCATAATTCAGGCGA